TTTTTTGAAATAAAAATAAAACGAACGCCCTATGCAAATATTTGTCGTATTTTCTACTTAACAAACAACACAAGCAAGTAAGGGCACGAACGACACAGGAAAATGCTTGCAACATAACGTTGCAAAGAATTTTCGAGCGACGTATTGCAAAGAAATTCTTAGCGAGCTGTCAGAATTCTTTGCCAACGATGTGTTTACAGTAGAGGTAGTTGTTTGCAAGCTCGCGAAGAACTAATTCGTATCACAATGCTTCAATAAAGCATTCCGGTGAATCTGAAATGCAGAAGAAAGCAGGGAACAAGAAAACGGAAATCACCATGTAAAAGCATAGCGATATCCTTTTTCTTCTTCCTCGCATTCTTCTGCATTTTAGCTTTACCGGAATGCCTTATTATCTTTGCAAGCTGCAAAGAAAATGGTATCTTACACCGAACCTATTCTTTGCAATAACTTTACAGTGCAGGTTTAAGGCCGCAAGTCGAGCCCGGCGCACCCTATCGGTTTGACTTTCCCTTGTGGGGACCGGGAGCTGCCTCATGCTCATATGTTCGCCCCCCCCCCCCCCCCCCCCCCCCCCCCCCCCCCCCCCCCCCCCCCCCGTCCCTCTCAACCGCGCCTACCTGTCGCGTCGTCGTGGGGGCAAGGTCTTACAAGCAAGCGGGAGCAGGGAGCAGGTACGTACTCAGGTCCGTGTCCCCCCTGGCCGGTCGCGTCGCAAACTCATCACCGTCCAGCCTGGGAAATCCCCCCCCCCCTCCATCTCCAGGCGATTCCGGCAGGGGACAGAGACGAAGAAAAGTGAAAGGTGGCCACTCTGCAGTGCTCTGCAGGAGGAGTGCAGGTTGCAGTCTCCACCAGTCGCACACGATCAGCCAGGGCGCGGTCCACCTCCAGCCCGGGGCAGCCCCCTCCACCACGCCACCGCCGTCGCACCGCACACAGCTCGTCTCGACGGCACAGCAGAGGTAGGCCAAGACGACATTGCACGTGCTCGCTGCAAAGCAGTGTGTGGTACGAGGTCCGACCTTCCGCTCTACCTTGACGACACCGTTTGTTGTTCCAGTTGTCAGTGCAGCCCGCAATTCCCTCGTCATGTCCGCGAAGCAGCTGACCTTGGAGCAGCTCCCAGACGACGTCCTCGTCCTAATGATGCAGCGCCTCGCCGTGGACGACCTCCTCGCCTGCCGGCTGGTGTGCAAGCGCCTCGGCGGCCTCGCCCTGCACCCGGACGCGTGGCGCCAACGACGGCTCGACAAGGACAAGCCCTGCGTGTGCGCGGTGCTGTGCCTGGCGCCCTGCCTGGACAGGGTCGTCTACAGCCAGAAGGTGCACGTCCGGGGATTCACCACGACATCGTGTGCCGTCAAGCATTTCGAACTGCATGCGCAACAGGACCCGGAATGCGCCCTGGCCCGTGTGGCGCTCGTCAGGCAGGAGGCGCTCGGCCGTCTCAGCAGCGTGAGCGTGCGGCTGGAGACGTGGCGCTGGGGCCCGACCGAGAACGTTGCATCCCTGCGGGGTGCCGACGCGTTGTTGAGGGCGGTGGTGACGTGCTCTTCTGGGTTTGAGTCGCTCGACCTTACCTACGGTCTGCCTAAGCCCTTTGCTATGCGCCCTGTTCTCCGCGGGCAGTGCAGGCCGTCCCTGAAGTACTTCCGACGTGAACTCTCGGAGCACACCCAGACCTTCATCAAGACTGTACTGACCGGGCACGCAGCTACCCTGGAGGAGGTCGACCTTGGCGAGAACTACATCAGCAGTGCGAGCTACAGCACCAGCGCGGACTGGACCGCACTGCTGGCCGGCATTCCTAGACTCCAGATACTGAAGTGCCAGCCGATTCATGGGATGGAGGTCATGGCAGCGGCGTGCAAGACGCTCGAGGACTTGTCCCTCGTCACCACAGGCTCCGATGACCGTGCCCGCGAGGGGGCCGTGAAGCTGCTACTCCAGGCCGACCAGCTGCGCGCTGTGTCTCTAATTTGTGTCAAGGAGGCCGATGAAGATGTTGCGGCTATGATGGGGGCCCTGGCGGCGTCCCGACCCGCATGGAAAATTATGGCATCAGATTGTCATCAGTATGTCATCTCGCCGATGACAAACGGATGACAATCTGATGACAACCTGATGATAAAACTGATGACATACTGATGACAAACGGATGACAAAACGCGAATAGGCGTTTGTCATCAGTATGTCATCATTTTGTCATCAGTTTATCATCCGTTTATCGTCAGATTATCATCCGATGACAAACGGATGGCAAACGGATGACACACGGATGGCAAACTATGGTCAGGGGACGGCTCCAGCCAGCTCCAGCCTAACGGCGCGCATTTAAACTTTCCCGCCTTATGTTTTTCTGGTAGACCGCATTTCACTCTCATGCCTAAAGTAAGCGTCGTAGAGCAAAACGGCTTACTGTGGTGTATGAGGATAACATACTCTATCCATTTCTGAGAAAAAAAAATAATCGAAAATCACCTTTTAAACGGCTATAGCTACAGAATTTTTAACACCACCATCGTGCTCAGAGCGAAAAGTTTACTCGGAAGACTCGAGCTCCATCTTCCGATCGACTTATCGTCACTCCATTTACACCACTTAAACACCCGTCTAGGCTTGTATAGACTAGGGCATTTCGTGTAAAGCATGTTCGCTTGGAACATTCCCCAACGATCTGGAGCGACGGAAGCAGCCCGTTTGTCATCAGTTTGTCATCCGTTTATCATCAGATTGTGATCTGATGGCAATCTGATGATAAACGGATGATAAACGGATGACAAAATGATCATATACTGATGACAAACGCCGATTCCCGTTTTGTCATCCGTTTGTCATCAGTATGTCATCAGTTTTATCATCAGACAGTCATCAGATTGTCATCCGTTTGTCATCGGCGAGATGACATACTGATGACAATCTGATGCCATAGTTTTCCACGCGGGGACGCCCCCTCTTGCAACGACTGTCCGTTATCCGTGCTGACGAGTGTTCGACGTCGCTGGCCCGGGCGCTGCCTCAGCTCCCCGGGCTCCGAGTGCTGACCATTTTGGAATCGACACTAGGGGTGATCGAATTTTGCATATTTTTGATTCGAGAAATGTAATAGTGCGGAAAAGTTGGCCTGGTATATCCTAAGACTAACCATATTTTTTATATTTTTTCCGGACAAAATCTTGTGTTCGAACCAGGGGTCACGAGTTTAACATTAGTGTCTTATGGGCGTTTTGATCAAAAAGTGTTTTTGGTGTCTTGTTCCTTTAATTTTCGCCGTACATCAAAAATAATGCCAGAATCGTGATCTACGTCAAAAACTGAGACTAGCGATATATAATGTGACAACATTCCATTCTT